GCGTTTTTGAGTTATGCGCTTACCAACACATTTTGCGATTCATTTTTATAAATAAGAAGATTTACAAGCTGATGCACAGAGTCAAAAATACCACGTAAAATTAATAAGATTGTATCTATGAACAGGTTTTAAGCTGAGGGGTGGATCGGACGTAAGAAATGAAAAAAATTATAAAGAATATCCTTTGGTTTGCTTCGGAAATTCTTAATAATACAATTCATAATTAATTCTTATTTTTTCAAAACGATTTATTTTTTAATAAATTATTTATATGATATTCTTATGATTTTTATATTTCAACAACCTGCTGCTACAGAGTATAACAGTTTTGTTTACCTAACGATTGTACGTATCACCTAAAGAGAGATAAGTGCAAGTCCGTGTTACAGTTGATATCTTGATTAAACTTAGTATGCGGGTACAAAATAAAACACAAAAGAAACAATACCAAAAAAATTTTGAAAAAGTGGGCGTKAGGTCGGATTCTAACAAGTTTAATGTAAAATTACTGAAAGCGAAATGAATCAGTAACTAAATATTTATGCCAGAGAAATTAAATTTTACTCACAAGATGGTATGAGAAGGTTTTATTCGAGCCGGTGTGACAATTGGACGATGGGCGTGGTACCGCGCACTTTTAGGTGAGATCACATATAGCGTGACCCACCTGACCGATTTTAAACAAAATTGGTGTGTGACATTTAAGGATGCAAATATCGTGAAACATCGATGGTTCGATATTTCGATGTTTTTTTTAATTTTGTATACCTATTAATAATGAGCATAAGAAACTAGGTTCAAAAGCATAAATAAATGAACCGCAATAGTTAGTACGCCTTTATTGATATATTTTRCTAGCTATATGTGTTTTTTTTTTTTAATAAATAATAGATACAAAAGGTTTTCAACACACAAAACTTTATTTAAAAACAACAACTTGTAAAGACTTTTCCCTGTCAGATAGTTTCTCCAGCATTAGAAAACAATCGTTTACTCGGAACTGAAGTGGCCACAATGGGTAAATATTTAAAACCTGTTTGAGTTGTGTAACTCCGGAAAAACACTTTTCAACAACTGATCCAAGATACATTTTCACTTYAACTTCCGTTGATGTAATTGTAGATAAATTGGATATTCATACATATCATATATTGGTKGTCGAAATGATTATGGTGGCTTCAAATATCAAGTGAGTGTTCTGTTTCACAGCCATCCGAAGATTCTGACGTACCAGCGCCATTCCTAGCATCCAATCTTTAAATTAAAATTGGATTTGCTCCGTTGGTAATAGTATGTGAGGTACCATAGTGAAATCTAGGAAACATTTTTTTAGTATGTGGCMTGTTGATAGTAAATATAATASTTTGGATTCCGATTCTCTGGTTGACATTTTATACATTAAGGTATTTCCCTGACTTTYATTCTTGTAAGTTGCAGGAGTATAAAATGTTTGGTTACTCCCCTATTTCGTCCTTCCTTACTTGTTCGCTATTCGCTTTGTGTGCTCATAACTTCGTTTTTGTATTGATTCATGATTATTTAATGGGATTGAAGTCTGGACTTTGGGAACGATGGGGCTGTACTTTTATCACATTGTAAAACAATCATTCCTTAACCAAAAAATTATTACTTCGGGTAGTTATAGAACAAGCAGTAGTAACCACCGTTTAAATTGAGTTTAGCTGCTAATGAACCAAAATAATTTTTTAATATTGCGGAGTATTCCATTTTGTCATAATTCCTTCAATCAAAACATGCTTACACAAAAGAAATTCTCTTACCAAAAATGCAATTTGACCAAACGCAAACAATACTACTCAAAATAACTGTGCCWACTAGATAATTGTAATGTAAGTGTTGTCATCGTAAAGTATAATTTATTTGCAGTTCAAAAATTATATAGTATGTATTACAGTTTTTCGTAATTGTTAACATCAAAATGAGYTTATGTTTATAATTTTTATAAAAAAAACGACAAATTGATGAGATTTTTAAAATGTTGATCTTGGTTGCAGTTTAAAATCTGAAATATCTTAAGATATCACATTCTTTACGATCAACATWTCACTCGTATAAGTTATTTTTGATTTTCCCATGAACATTAGTTAGTGGTCCAACATATATCAGCTATCCTAATATCCATATACATCCACAAACCATAATACAATTTATATCACAGATCATATAAACAATTTGGAAAACACACAATTATAATAATTTGTTAAATGTTTTTAATGAATATATGCCGATAGAATCGATGTTCTTGGCTGAGTATATGTGACATATGCAGCCCGTCTGCACTTCAAATATGCCAATCATCAATSGAAAACTGACATTAGTGCTCTGAGCCACTTTCTTCTCCTAACTTTAAAATTACATATTGTTTCTGACGCTTTCACTGGAATCGTGCGCAAACGGGGATGAAGCGAGATGGAAGAACGCGATAACGTTTAGCTAACCTCATTCAAAATGCCATAGGAAGTGAAATGTTTAAATCACTTTGCCACACAAGAAAGTTGTTCTTGTTTTTGTTGTGGCTGCATTTCAATAAAGAGAAACACTGTTCCGAAAGCGTGTTAACTTTGAACTCACAGTAGCTTCATGGAGATTTCCAGTTACACGTTTACTTTCAGCCACATGAATCAGTTTGTTCCTTAGTGTGCACGTGTCAACAACCTTCAATATTGATGATTGATGACTGGTTTGAGACTGACAGACTAATGTGCGGAACACAATGCTCGCCACAGACTGCAGCACGACAGTGAACTGAAAATGGCGTTGTGAGTCCTACAACATGAACGTTTTTGAGAGGGCAGCAACATCACAATGGCCGGCATGTACACAAAACAACGCAGTTATCCATTTTGCATGTACACAATTATTTTATACTTTTATTTGTAAAATAACGTCAAGTTTGTTAGAGCTGTGCATAATTTTACATTTTACATATTAGTGGCATCGCCACTCTACCTCATCTCTCTATCTTCCATTCTACTGTCAACTCTACTGTCGTTAGCAAATATAGGATTAAATTGAAGTTAGCGAGAACGACCACTGTCGGCCTGCAGTCGTGTAGTCGTGCAGCTGTCAAAAGGTCTATCAATCGTCTATCATTATTTAATTAGTATCGAAAAGGAGTATATTCTCAAAAAYTTCTTTATATATTGTAAATATCAATCTCAAGTATACACATATTTCTATATACAAATTTGTATKTATAGTGTACATACATACAAACATAAGTGACGGCTGTGACCCAACGGCAATCAAGTCTATTTAATCGACCGCAGCTCAGCGGCAATGCTGAGTAATTTAATTGTGTTCGGATTGTTCGCGAGCATCCAGCTAGAAAACTCTTCTTGCTCCGAAGTCACGTACAATTCTGGTCGCAAAGCTGCTTATTACCGATTGCGGCAATGACAAAAACAACAGTGAAGGCTTCTGCGATTGCATATCGGTACAAGTAATTATTAATATTATTTATTATTTAATATGTRTGTATGTATGTGTAAAAGTAAAGTTACTGAGAACGCATGTGCCTTAGGGCGAAAAAATTTGATCGCAACGAAATTTGCGAAAGTGGTACCGCATAGTGACATAGCATAGTAAAGTTTATATTCGAACTCTGCTAATTTCTGGTTAGAAACGATCCATATCAAACACAATTGCATACATTTTGGTACCGAACTTTTGTTACCCGTAAAAACATATACATATATTATGTAAGTACAGTTAAGTTTTTTGCATCATTTCATCATTATGCATCGTTTGCGTCAAGCTATTCRTCCACCATTRGTTCCTGTATCACGATAGTGCACCATGTCATACTGTCATTGGTTCTTCGCGAGTTGTTTGCCTCGATTCAAAACGTTCCGCAACGTTCGTTCGATTTTGGCTAATGAACTCAAATGCCAACCCAGGGAATAAATAGTTTTGACAAGATTGAAGAAAAAATAACCGAATAAAAACCCGAAAAAGACAATTGGAAGTTTCGGGGACTGTGTTTTATCGTGCAGAGATTATTTTGATTTGGAAAGTACTTTTTGATCACAATAATTTTTTTGGAAAACATATTAATTTTCAACAGAAAAAAACACGGTTACCGTTCAAAATGTTGGATTTACTTAAGGGCCCCGCTTCCTAAACTTGGACCAAAGTTTTGTTGTAACATATAGGACAGCAAAGTAAAGAAATATTTTCAAGTAAAGGAAAGTTCTTATGTTAAATTTTTAATTTCATTTGAATAAATGCGTAAGAAATTAAAAATAACTTCAATAAAATTAATAATAAACTTTTTTTTTATATAACTGATACAATTGATGACGTTGAAGATATTTCGTTTAGATTTAATTGTAGAAYTTAGAAAACCTGATACTATAATATTTCATTTAGGTTTGCCCTAATGTATATAATTATACTTGTATATCTAGAATCTTGAGCGCCTAAAGCGATGAATTATTATAATTCTCGATTGTTCTGCCGCCCAGGATTTCTCTTTGTAATTCAACATTAATGATGCATCAGTGCCCGCTAATTCCTTTAGGTGCTCTAGTTTGGTGCTTTATAGTCTTGGTATAATTATTATATGTTAAGGTTGCATTTAGGTTCTGCAGCAATTGTACACGCAATGTATTTAAAACSTCTCATTATGTTTTGTATAGCAAATTGTTTAAAAAAAGATTTGATTTGTTCGAATTCTTCTCACAGAAAGTGGGCTTATCATTTTTTGCATATAGGGTTTATTAAAAGAAGAAAGATTATCTTACACTTCCTGTTCAATTTATGGTGCAAAATTACTTATACCAAAGCCTAAAAAATACCGGTTAGTCTGGTAGGTTCGTGAGAYGCAAGCAGATAATGATTGGTCCCTTACGATGCCAAATAGAGTGTTGAGAAATAGTAATTTTTCAGGATGTCATCGCTTCACGCAAATTTCAATAGGTTCTCCGGCCTTACTATCGAAGCGTTTTCTAATATCTAATATCCTGGTATTGCAGTTTGGCAACTGACAACTTTATCGTAACATAGTCA